TTTCGGGATCGTGTTATTGGAGATAATCACAAACCAACCTGTGATTAATCAATCCTCTGAAAGTTCTCACATAACACAATGGGTTGGCTTTAACATTAACCGAGGTGATATTATTGAGATTATGGATCCAAATCTTCGTAAGGATTATGACTCTAATTCTGCTTGGAGCTCTTGAGCTGGCAATGTCATGCGCGGACCCTTCTTCCTCAAAACGACCATCCATGTCTCAGGTTATTATCGAGCTTAAAGAGTGTATTGTGTATGAAAACTCGAGGATAAGTAAGAATCAAGGCTTGGAATCTCAAGAAATGAACATCACGTTGGACACTTCGGTGGTTCCTCTGGCAAGATAGTTTTGAGTGTTGTCTACTTGTGTTATCAATAATGCAACCAGTAATCAGTTGTATCTCTTCTATTGTGCTCTGTTTTGCTCTGCTTTTTTTCACTCCTCTGTTTGGGAAACAAAATTAAAATCTTTGCTTTGAGAGCAGTCAAACAAAGAAATAAAATTCTTGTTAGACTTTGTCTTAGATAATTGATTCTCTTTTGATGTAACAAAATTTATTGCTTAACGTGTTTCTTGGTCTGTTGACGAGTTTATACACAGAAATTGTGTAAAGACTTCCCGCTCACTGGAATCTATCATCGTTTTGATGAGTTTTGGAGCTTTGTTCCACGAATTTAGAGTGTCTGTTTAATGTAAAAACCTAAAGGAACTTGAGAGAGATTTTGCGGTAGACCAATAAGGATTTGATCTTAGAACACTATATATCAGTGTTCTAAAAAGCGAACGCCTCGGCGCTAGGCCCCTATAGACCGTGGCGATTACCGCTTTTGCCGCGTAAAATATTATGGTATTATTATAATAAAATACTATAATTTTTTTAATATATAAATCGTAAAATTTTATATATTTAGCTATTAAATGATGAATATAAATACAATATAAATTTTATTAGTTATAAATTATGGTTTTTTATATATTTTATTATATATATCTAATATATTATGTATTTTTGTAAAACGTTTAAACCGTCTATTAAATCGCCTAGGCTCCGATTAGGCGTTCTAGGCACTAGGCATTGGGTCACCGTCCGCTTAGCGCCTAGCGCTTTCTTGAACATTGCTATATATATATATATGGATTAATTACTAGAATAGACTTGACAAATGGACAAATTATTAGAATAGTCTTGACAAAATATCAAAATACTAAGAAAAGGTTTAAAAGACATATAAACCAAGGTTATGTTTTGTTATTACAAAAATGCCATTTTGACTTAAAAAATAAAAAATAAAAATATGAAGAATTTGTTTGAAGTGGCCGCGGAGGCTGCGGAAGCACCGGAGGCGCGCGCGGCGGAGGTGTGGAGGCTGAGGAAGCACCGAAATTGAGATAAAATCGGATTAAAAATCATAAGGTGAAAAAAAAAACTCAAAATCTTTTGAT